TAAAGGTTGATTTAGGTTAATTTCACAATTTCTGAAAAATGCATTTTCATGCTCCTGAAATAATGGATTGTTGGAGATATGAGTTTTGTCGGTGGACACAGACAGTCGCAGTCGGTGCATGCAATGATATTCCATCAGACGGCAGATGTATTACAATAACTACAAATACAAGCAGTGAAGCGAAATGGGTAACCTTTTATGAACAGTTTTAAAGTTGTTACTAGGCTTGAGCAGTACAAGGGAAAATGCAATCTGGGACACAATGAATTAAGTCTCAAGTCACAGACTAGTGCCAAGCTTGGGGAAACTTGCAGCACAGAGAACCAGGGTCTGAGCAAAAAAAAAAGGAGGCTGAATGGTAAGAGTTTCTGAAAGTTTCATAAAAGAATTAGTTGTTTCAGTTCCTCAGTGAGCAACTAATCAAAGATACTACTGGTTCAAATGATCTCTTCACAACAAAGGCCAACATTGTGCTGAGCAACAGAACAACTGAAATAACAGCATTGCCTCCTTGCCAGCAAGAAGAAGCAGACACACGAATGATGCTCCAGTTGTATCAAGCTGCTAAAAAGAGGGCAACACCAAAGCCTGTTTAAGGAGAGTGGACAATGATGTGCTTGTTCTTGCAATTTATCATTTCCATCAGCTGAATCTCTCAAAGCTATGGGTTGGGTGCGGTTCAAGAAAGATATTCAGAGAGATCCCAGTCCATCAAATCCATCAACAGCTGGGACCTCAACGCTGTGAAGCGTTTCTTCCAAGCATACAGTGTGATGTAACATTGTTTGGAATTGGTAAAGAGACAGCATGTAATGCATGAGCTATGTTTCTTTAGGTCACTGATACCTTTGGTGCCATCACAAATGACCTAACCAGCTGCACATTTGACCCCCTGCACGTGCAAAGTCTGGAGCACTTCACTGTGTTTATACAGCAAAAATTAAAAGTGCAAACTGATGTTCACTCACTAAAATCACTTGACTCCATCCACCAACTCAGCATACCTTCTATCAGCATGCAAAATGAAAGCTGCAGTGAGAAGTGCACATCTGGAGACAGCAGAATCCCCAAGATCCCTGACCCAGGCAAATGGTTGACAGAACCTAGGTATGGGTGCCATATTGCACTAATCCGGCAGATGCCAGCAGATGCCAGCCAGGGACGCTCACTGCTACTCTACTGTGGCTGCCTAGTCGCATGCAAAAGAAACTGCAAATGTTATTGAGATGGAATTTGCTGGGCCACATTCTGCAAGCGTGAAGGAGGCTGCACCAACAATGATATGGAGATCTTATATGTTCTATATATATTTAATATAACCAAGTCAAGTATTTTTTAGTGTCTGACTTTTGTTATTTGAATAAATCTGTTTTAGCGCTCAATTTGTTCATTTTCATGACTGTGAAAATGACATCTGGCCATGAAAATTATTTTAAAACACCTGAAATGGATTCATCACACCAAAGGCATGGAAATGTATATACTATACAATAATCTAGTTCAAAGAGGACCTGAGATATGGACATTCACTTTGTTCAGTAGTGGCCATATTGGATGTTGGGCAAGCAGGTCACCAAAGGTCGATTCCCAACTTGCATGTGCAAATTGCAAAAAACTTCACAGCAAGTGCACAAGTTTGCAGAATGACGGCACACTGCCTCCCTGCTATAGCTCAACACTAATACAAAAAGTCAACAGCATAATAGCAAACAATAGAAAAATTAAAAAAATAGTAATAATAAATAAAAAAAACAATTTTGCTTACAGAGAACAGGTGATATACAAAACTCACACTAAATTCAAGGTAGGGCTGCACAAAATTGGGGGAAAAATTATTCATATTGCCATATTAAGACATTTTTGCGATAGCCTAAATATTTCAATGTTTACGAAACAATGCTCTCAAATAAGTTGGTGGTCTTGCCATATGTTGTCACTTGCTTTTGCTCAATATTATCTCTATGAAATCCAAAATATTTCCATGCAGTGGAAGACAAATGTCTTTTGGTGACCAGTTCTTGTTCGCTTTTTTCTTTCACACTCAGTTTTGTTAAATCCCTCACAAACCTGGCACATTGTTTATGAATGACTCCAATGACAAGGATGATCATCACAGGGTCAGAGAGCTCATGCAAAAGCAGAGGCAATAAACTTTAGACTGATTTTGTAGCATACTAACTAGTCGTGCAAAGTAATAACCATTAAAATTGCAAGACTAAAAACGTTTCAGCGTAATTTATTAATGTTCTCAACCCACTGTGGTCAGACCATTGTGGTCTGTGCGATATTACCGTCACACATCTGGCAACTCCAATTAAAGCGATAAAATATTAACAAATAGTAGGACAGATTTTTTCAGGTGCTGATGCTACACAGGCCATCTGAGGTAAAAGACAGCTCTTTTCACAACATATCATCCATACAGTGACATGACCCCCTAGGTGGATGGAGTCTCTCAGCACCCTGTGGACAGGAATTCCCATGATCAACAAATGCCAGCCAGGGAGACACGTGGAGGAAAGAAGCAGCAGGCTTGCCCAGCAGTGCCACACATGACATACCACAACATAAAAAGCTCAAAAACACATCCCGTTAGCCGTTGCTGTGACATTGCTCGTATTTCAGCAGCATCTGCACTGACTCCCATAGGAGACCACACCCATCTGCTGACAAAACAGTTCACACAGTGAATTAGCATCCGGCTGGGTTCCGCAAACAGAAAAGGCAGTTAAAACGCATTATTACAGGCAAAGACAATTCCATTTAAAGAAACTAGAGAATAAGATAGGATTTGCCTTGCAGAACACTACTGACTATTACAGCCCATGCAAACCTTCTGCCCAGTTAACCTAAGTGATTCAGAAAAAGCCATTTATAAACAAAACACAGGGTCCTCCTAAGCAGGACGTAAGCACACCGATACCAAATGGAAAATGAAGAGAGAAAAAAAGCTCATCATGACACACTTCTTTCATGCGTTTCTGTATATATAGTCTTACTTAACCTTTATTATCCATCTTTGCATATCTTAAATTTATCATTTCTGTAAATACATTATATATAGACTTAACTTTATCCATTTTTCCACCCGTCCCCAGTTTTAATTTAGAGCAGCATATTTTATTTTATTTTTTATTTTATTTTTTTTTTTAAACTGTTATTTTTCTCAGTCTAAGGAGTAACCAGTTGTGCAATTAACGGAGAGTTTTATCTGTTTAACTATGCATGTGACAAATCTTAAATCTCTTGAATCTCTTGCAACAATACTAAGCTGCCGGCCAGTAACCAATAAGTCTGTCTATACCTGATTTCAGGCTTGTGCACAAATCAGCTTGTACACGACACTGAAAGATCTGGGAAAAGAGTTCAGTGTTTGTGACATGCTAAAAGGGAGTGACACACATTTAAAAGAAAAAGGAAGTCTTGTTCAACCTAAACAACATTTACAGATTCTCGTAGAAAAAAAAAACTACGGCTGCCATATATACACACACAACAGCATGTCATAGTATGATGGATTGTAGCCATGCTAGTGCGAGTGTGTGCACATACGTTTGTACTTTGATTAAGGCATCAGTGGCAACAGACAGCAAGAGAGCCGGCAAGGAGAAGCCTTGGGCAAAGAGCTATTTTTAGGCCTTGAGCAGCCAGCCACACACAGCGAGGCGGAGGAGATGCAGGGGGCCACCACAGCATCAGGAGAAGCTCCCATAGCAGGCATACAGGGCTTCATCACAACACTGTCACCATCTTACTCAGGAATAAATAACAGTCATCCACATTCTTCCATATAAAGCTGCTAACACAACAAGTTTACTCTCATTAGCTGGAAGTGGTGTCAGCTTAATTAGGTATTTTATGTTTAATTTTGACATGTCAGCAACTAGGGATAAATTCATGAAGTAAAACAGAACAATCAGACAGGTAAAACCATCAATAAGTTATCTGCATTTAATTATAAAAAGTTACAAACTGTTAAAACGGACTAAATAATATGATTAAGATGATTTTTTTCAATTTAACAGTTACATTTGTGGCAGGAACAGACCAAGTTGCATTTCTGGCCATACCATCTTCACCAGCTGCCAGCTGCTCATGTGTGGTTAGAACCATCGGCCCAAATGAGTTTGCATGTGGATGGTGGCATTTTTATTTATTTAAAGTGGTACTTTAATAAATATACCCAGCAATACTGCAAAGTTGTACAATCATATCCAAAACGACCAACCCCAACAATGTTCAAAATTAGAGCAGTGACAAGGATGCTTGTCAAGATCAAAAGGGACAAGACTCAAGGCTGTGAAGTCAGCGGTACAAAAAGAGCTTCACACGATTTACCACAAATTTAATGTCACTTCTGGCAATGAGATCGAAAGAGGCTGAACATTAAACACTATCTGGGAAGGCTTGGAAAAGCATGGAAGTTTGCAGGCCAAAGCCTACATGCAAGTATTGCCTCATTCAATCACTGCTTAGCTTCTTCCATCTGGAATTACCATACAAACAGGCAACCAAGATAGAACAGTGAATATTCCCAGCATTCATGACTATCAAAGGGTTAATGTTCCTGTGTGTTCCATGAACTTTTCTACCCTGTCAGGAGGTGCAGCAAGCAGCTGTCCCAAGAAACAGCTCATATGGGACTCCTGTGGATTACAGCATATCACTGCGCCCACAGGTGAGCTCCAGGATAGAGCAAAGAGCAGGAACAACATGACTGCTGCTGCTTCAGCAACTGTGCTAGGAAGACTTAGACCTGTCTGATACACCCTAGCTTTCTCCAAGACAACCAAACGTCTGCGGCACTCACGGAATGGCAGTTATAGATCAAGTGAACATACCACCAAGTATGAAGTCAGGAGCAAACACAGACACAAAGAAATAATACTTTAAATAAAACATTACATAAAGGCTGCCATCCTTGTAATTGAGACAAATACAGTAGAGTCATGTGCAACAGTAAACACTGTCCCTTTCCTGCTAGAAGCAGACAGACTGACCTTCCATGTGCATGGAAGTCAAGGTGGAGAAACTTGTCCTCATGGGACAGGGCCCTCCTGACTCGCTGGTGCTTGTTGTGCAGAACATCTGTGTCATAGGACAGGCCCTCATAGTGGTGGATGTAATTGTTCAGGGGATTCTCGTACTGACCTGCAAGAGAGAAAGGAAGAGTGCTAGTTAGCCAAGAACCAGCCAGTATGGAGGCAGTACTGGGACACACACTGCCAAAATAAAGCTGCTACACGCTCGATCTTACACGGCAATGCAGCTGCTACTTATGATGTGTGTGTGTGTGTGTGAGGGCTTGCTGTGCATAATTCCAGGGCCCACGACAAAATGACCTCAACTAGGCCTCCCATGACAAGTAACCCCCCCACCACCACCACCACCACCACCACCACAGCCCGCACCCGGGGGGCAGCTTCCCCAGCCATCTCCCTGAGAGGGTGTGCTTGACAGTGCGTCGCTAACCATTACCTGGGATTGTCCGCTTTGGCTGCTACTTTTAAGAACAGTAAGGTTAAACATATGATGCGGATGTTCCTACCGAATAAATGTGGGGGAATTGATCTGTTTTCTGCCTTTCTACTGTTTGCGTTTTGATGAAATGCTGTGAGAAATTGTTAGACTGCGCGGTCAATGGGGACCCTTCAAAGAGGAAAACAAGTGTGCGTGTAAAGCTTGATGTTTCTGTTAATGTTTGTAGAGGTTTACCCCCCCCCCCACATCCTGCCTTTCATTCAAAGAGAAGCGTGCTCTCCTGGGGCTTCACTGTGGAAAGCTTCCATTGTAACAGAGGACACTCTGGCTCCAATCAGCAGCAGGGTCTCATGTCCATTTACTGAACCACAGACTGCATACAGGCACACTAACAACACTCTGTATGCAAACAAATATCTAACCAATTTGTAAACTTTTTTTAATCATGTAGAGTTTTTCCTCAATATCTATACAAATATGAACAGAAAGTTTCTAGGAACTAATAATGCATTTTGTCGGAAAACACGGACATATTCTACATGCAGCAATGAATTCAGTTTGTGACCCCTGGTCTCCTGTGGACACAAAGTGTTTTATTTCCTGGCATAAAGCTAATGCTCAAACCCCACATCGATCTCCCACTGCAAACAAGGGCCCTGTCTGTCTCGGCTTTCCGATTCCCAGCCCTACATGCAATCTGTCGGGCCTGAGCATGTCGCTCAACAGCAGTTCTAACAGGATGTTCCCTTTGGAAAGGAAACTCTTATGACTCATCGCTACAAAAAAATCCTTTCTTCATTAAATAATGCATGATATACCTTTGCATTGGTGTGAAGACATGAAATTAAAACAAATGTTAGTCAATTCTCCGTCAGACTTGTTAAATGAAAGTAATTAACTCTTACTGACCAACATGTGGTATAAGTATGTGGTAAACCTAGTGTTAAAGGTTACAGACCAGGACAGTTGCTAGGATTTTAAAATATGCAGGACTTAGCCCAAGTTGTCCAGCTGAGAGCATGGCAGTTACAATATTGGAGCCAAACAAATCATTCAGGGCTCATTCGGATTCATTCAGGGTTTCAGTCCCAAATGCCCCAGCCTCGTGATGCCTCTGGTATAGACGTGAAGCAAATGAAAGCTGCTTCAATAACAATATTCACGTACAAGCACATACTTCATGTGTGATGCGACAACAAATTAGCTACAAGTTCGCCTAGTAGTTTATGCACAGAAACAAGTCCTCTAAAGCTGCAAAAAATAACTTACGGCATTTGCCCCATAGAAACAAATTAGCAAGGCAATCTATATATTTCATGAATGAATCGTGGGAGTAACCAACAGCCCCTGAAAGCAATGCCAAGTGGAATTTTGAAAAAGAAAAAAAAGAAAAACACAACTTTAAAAACATCAACTGGACAAGCAGAGCACAGACCACACAGCAGTGAAAACAGCTTTGTTTCAGACTGTCCTCGCGCTGTCATCTATGTAGGCGCGTCTCAGATCAACTAACACCTGAGGAAGAACTGCCACCTGGTGACCACTGCCCAGGTGACAGTGCACACCCATCCCACTCAAACCTGACCTTCACAGTCCAGTAAGCATAACAGGAAAGATCTCCAGCAGTCTGAATGGCCTTCTGACTTCCATGCCACAAGGTAGCTGGTTTGCAATAAACCTGACTGTCATGTCACTCTAGCAAAGAAATAAATCAGCTGCAGATCTGGTTGAACACCGAGTCCCACACACTAATCAGACTGTCCCGCAGATTTGTCCTACTTGTCTCTAAACTACATCAGCAATTAAGCCTACATATACAGAAGGCTGAATCAAACTAGCTTCACAGCAAAGACAAAATCTAACTCGGATTCAGAAGAGAAACGTCATCACAATGCTAACTAAATGGCTGCTTCCAGTCCCTCCGCAGATCCTGAAAACCAGAGGGCACCAAGCTGAACCCTTGTCGCCCGGCAGGCTAGTGAGGTAAACTCAGACAGTCACGGACCAAGTACAAATGAGGCAGATCCATGCCCCAGCACAAGTGAAGCCAGAAAGCATAAGGCATGTCCCAGTGGCCACTGGCCAGGAGAAGCACACACTGCCTTCAAGACTGCTTTGCTTACAGCCCACTTGGGCAGTCAAGTGGACAGATCAAGGCAACAGGGCTTTAGTCCTGATGTAGAGGGGAGCTTGATACAGTCACACAAGCCAGGGCAGTAGGAGACCAGCGACTCCATTCTGCAGTTCACACAGGCGCTTAGCACTTTCATTCCACCAGGAAGGTAAAAATCCCAGTACCACACCTACACTAATCATATTTCACAGAAATGGGTAAACAGGTACGGGGCATTTGTAAACAGTAAGGGAAGATGGAACAGAATACTTAACTTCTCACCTCCTGGGGTTTGGAAGAAAATCTATTTAAAAGGCTGGATAAAAAATACCGCTCAAACAGAATAGGGCTTGGATAAACATTTCATTTGAAACTAGAAAATAAACAGCAGAGCTAAACCAGGGATTGGGATATACTGAACCAGACAAAAATGAAAGTACTGTAATTTGCTGAAGGACATTAGCCAAATTGCAGTTCAACGTTATATGAGAACAATCCACAAAGACCCTCTACTGTGTAATTCTTACCCATGTTTAAATATTCCAGAAGGGGAAAAAATGGTAACACTTCAGGCGACAGGAATACTTAGTAGTGACTACTGAAGTACAAGTCATGAATAAATCATCAATGACTATAGTCACGACTTAAAATGAAAGATGTGTCATGATTCATTAATGATGAACAAACATGACATCAGTATTTCACTTCTGTTATTGATTTGTTCCTACTATAGTTCCTTCAGATTTACAGAACTAACAGATATACTAACAGATATAAAATTAAATGATGCGTCACAATTCATTATTGAACAAACATTAGACAAGTATTTTACACGTTATTCATTATTTTTTCCTACATTACTTCCTTCAGTAGTTCCTTCACTAGTTCACAAAGGTTTACAGAATTAACACACAGAGCAACACATACAACTGCTTGAGATAAAATATGCATGACAATTCATTAATGATGAACAAACATGACAGTTTGTAACTAGCACTTAAGTTTGTGGTTAATACATAAGTAATAGCAAAATACTACATTATGTGTCTAAGTAGTGCTACCAAAAAAACTACTATCAGTGCAATAGAAAGATGTAAATGGCCATTTATATTTCTGTAAAACAGGTGATGACACTGAGCTGCTGCTTGTCCCCGTTTATCTTCTCCATCAAACGACCCGGGTGAATCAGAAGGTCAGATAAGTGCGTGTGGACTCTTTTGACTTGAGCATTCCTGCTCCGAGCATGCTTACGGCCACCTGCCTGTACAATAGGAAACTGAAAAATAGCATCTGAAACAGCCCAGTTTGCTTTGGTAGCTGACAGTTCAGAGGCTAAAGCGACAGATGGCAGCTGACAGCTTCAGGCCTCACCTCAGCTTTGCAGACTCCATGGACAGTCCCCTCTCTGCAGCTACCTGCACAGGCAGCTGAAATTAAAACATCTCTCTTTCTTTTTTTTTTTCTTTTTTAACTCCACCAGCTATTTGCTACCTGAGCAAATATCAGATTACATGTTCCTCATTGTGCTGTAAAGTGCCATTTTTTGAAAGTGCCATAGAATGCATTTTGTTTTTCAGTACTTTAAATTGCTCTTTGTGGGGTCAACATTAATATGTTGATGAGCTCTGCTCTAACTGGCTTGTTTCCAGTGAGGCACTGCAATGGCTCACACAGAAACTACATCTCTACAGCCATGCACCACATAACGACAGTTTGGTAAACCATGGATCTCATTTACAACAGTGATCCTTTAAGATTATAACAGAGCAATTCCCATTGTTTTGCGACATGGTAGCGCGACGCATTACTCATGGGTTTGTGGTGATGCTGATACAAGCAAATCTACTGCTCCACCAGTCATGTAAAATACATACAATCATATACAGTACATAATAGTTCATTATGATAATGAGTTTACTATACTGTAGTTTATTATTTTAGTGCACTCTTTCTACATTGCCACACAACTAATGCTCCCACTTCAGCTTCAGCACATTAGCATAATTATAACTTTCTTAGCATTGCAAGAAGAACATTGCAATTATTTTACATCTCACTAAACCAATCATTTTACAATGCTACCTTCGTCATGCAGTTTTCATGAAGAACTCCAAACAGCAAGCGAAGCAGCTCGTAAATGTGTTTTTTAGACTTCGGCTTACAATTTTTTTTGACTTAAGTATGGAATATATATATTTGTTTAGCTAACCAAAAGTAGGCTACAGGCAGTACAGAAGCCAGCGTCTTGACAATGTCAGTATCACAGACTTCGTAATGCAGTTTACTACTCTCCTACTAACCTGGGGTAGCAACTTAGTTGGAACCAGGCAACTGAATGAGTCCAACTAGGGGTGCAATAGTACATAAGAGTCACGGTTTGGCACAAACTCTCGAGTTGATGGTTCTGTACAAACTCAGTACAGCAGAGAAAATAAAATGTGCTTTGAAATATATTAAATATGTATATAGAAAGACAACCAAGAACTGTTGTAAACCAAAGGTAATGCATCTGTTGCCATGTTTAACAAACAGATGCTTTTTTGCATATTGTAAACAA